AATAGTTATAAATAATTAGTACTAAAATTTATTAGTAACGTTTGATTAGTTTAACTATTAAATATGTGAAATTATAATTATAAAATATTAAAATAATAATTATAAATTACAGATAAAATAGTTGTAAATCATTTGATTGGTCTAATATATTTTAAATAAGTGTATTATTATCTTTACACCTTAATTTTAAATTAAACTCAAATTTTAAGAAACTTAAGTATAATTTTTGAATTTCACAAGAGTTATTTATATGTAAATATACTTTACAGAACTCAGCATGATGGAGGAGCTCGTTTGAACTTTGATATTTAAGAATATTCACCTGTAATACAATTATTGGTTAGACGGTATTATATTACTACTCATTCTACTACTAGATATAAGATTTAATTAACTAGTACTAAGGAAATTAAGGAAATTCTGGTCGAGTCAATTTTTTAATGTATCACTTTTCCTAAAAATACTCATATTTTGATGAGGGTACTAATTATGCGAGAGTGAGATAAAGAGAGTGCAAAAAGCTATAAAATGAATGATGATAATATGAAAAAAAATATTAAATGAGAGAGATAAAAAAGAAGATTAATATTACATGTTTATGATCAAGGTAAGTAAATCAGAGTGAGTAATGAGAAGTTTAAATGATTGATAATAGACAGCCTATTTCAACTTACCAATATTTCATCTCAAGAAATATTTCAAAAATTTGTTTTGCGGTAGTGTGATGATAATAAAAAGAAGTTTGGATGTCCGGATTTATTAAAAAAATGTTTTTTTTTTTTTTTTGTTGAGACTGGGAAGCTCACCGAACTAGAATATCTTTCAAAAACTGAGTTAAGAAATTGAGCACATGTGTCAGGGAAGCAATAAATTTAAAATATTTTCATAACATGAATAAATTAAGTTGTAGCTTTTATAAGAAAGTACGTACATGTAAAAAATTCCAAAAAAAAAACACTATTAGTAAATTATTTGGATGATAAATTTTAAAATCTTCTACCCTCATTATTTGAAACACTAGATTTAACCCATATAAGATTGCATGTAGAGTTGTTAGTGAGGGCTAGCCCAAAGCAAAGCTCAATCCTTAATGGTTCAAACTCATAAGCCATTTTACTTTAAAATTAGTACTTTTTATACCAAAAAGAAAAGTACTTTTCTTCAACGCAACCATTATTGATAAAATTAAAGGTTGAGTTGATAATCTCATATAATTTTTTTTTAAACTAAAATTTTTATTATACTAATGCATATATAAATTATAAAATATCTTAATCAAATATTTAAAACATAGATATTCTTTAGTCATTATTATCATAGATTTCTATTCAAAAATAAAATATTTGATCCTTTAAAGGAAAATCTACATTGACGAGGTAGTGTTATTTCAACAATTTTACTTGTTTCGCATTTGTTATTTAGAATAAATATTTAATAAATTATGTTATTTTCATATATTAATTTAAAATTTTAAGTAAATTATATAAAGAAAGTTACAACAAAAAATTATAAGGGTTTTAGGGCTAGCTCAAGCTCTTGTTACAGGGCTTATAATGGTAAAGCTTAAAAATCTTTTACACCAAAATTTTCTATTTTTTCAAGTCTAATCCTTAAAAGATACAAGTAACTCATTGGCCTGACACTTATTAACAACTCTCATTGCATAGGACAAGACTTAGTAGAAAAGGTCATGCATTTTGAGAATTGAGAAGCCAAGATTTTGAAAAAGCTACACCTACAACTATAGTCATTATTTACTAACAAAGATTAGTTCAATTGGTAATAATTTAACCTATAATACAAAAGGTCATAGGATTGAAATTTGTTGCCAACATGAAGATTTTGTTGGTAGGCGATTTATAAATGTCATTCTAAACGCTCTTTGAATTTGAAGATAGACTTTAGCTTTCATAAACTCTTGAAGTTTATAAAACTTAACTTATCTAAACTTTTTTCTTGCTACCGAAAAACAATAGTCATTCTTTAGTGCTTTAAATATAAATAATCAATCAAAATTAGTATAGAATTTAAATACTTCACAGATTATGAACAGTGTTTATCACAAGACTCTAGCTTTATATGTATATGGGGGGGGGGGGGGATGACAGTGATATGATGATTACTAACTTTACCTCTCATTTTTCTTCACTCTTTCTCATTTCTTTGATTATCTCATACTCCATAGTCCAGTGACACGATCAGTAGAGTGTGTTTATATAAATCTGGAGCTATGCTATTTGATTAGAACAAAAGAGAGAGAGAGAGAGAGATCTGTCTCATCATAAAAATAAAAACACGGTATACTCATAATAATCCTATTATTATTGTTAATTAGATAGATGTGAATCTTAATCTTGCAGAATCAAATAAATGAGCTACATTAATGTCTTAAAAGTAACGTGACTTTCTATATGATATACATTAAATATTGATTAATAATAATAACTTTTCAATTCTAATTAGTGTTTTTAGTAGATATAAAAACATCTTCCATCCACAAAAATAGCTTTTTATTTTATTCTATTATATACACTAATAAACATGTTTTGGATATGGATACAGTTACAAATAATGAAAAAGATTGAGCGGACATCAGCTTTCAATTACAGTATATGTGAATCTTCTAACATTCTTTCACTTGAATTTGAACAACTATCCTCACCTTCATGCTCATCCACAGACATACCCTCAGCATCATTGGTCGCCTGATTTTGTGTTGCTTCTGCAAATGCTGTAACTTGTTCAGAAATGTTGGACTGTTGATGTGCAGTAAATTAAAGCAAGAACATGAAATATGGATTGTTACACAGAGGTATTTGTTTTCTGGATAGAAAGAGATACCAGTATTCAACAGAATAAACCACAAATACAGCCAAGCGGCCCAAGGGGAGAGTGCTTATCCTTTATAAATCATAGCCTCTTAGCCAAAACGGTGGGGTTGATCAAAAGTCACACATAGATGTTTCAAGGATGAAAAAGTATGAAAAAGTGAACCTTGGCTTGATCAAGCATATTGGAATAAATATGATTTAAATATAGATTTAGACTTACACTCGCCAGAAAGGTGGCTTGAGTGATAGCCTCTATAACCAAATATTCCTGGCCTGGAAATTGAGGTTTTGCTATGGTAATGATAACCTGTTAACATGAACACGCAATGCTCCATATCGGGACGCGAATTTGGGTGACCTTGCGTGCACAGTAGACCCATTTCAATGCACTTTTTCACTTGCTCCGTCACTGCCGAATTTGCTAAACCAGGGTCCATGATCTTTAAGATCCTACCAGCCTTGAAAAGCTTGTATGCCTGTTTCCCAAAAACAAGAAAAGAAAGTAGTTTTGACTGATCATCCATCTTTAGTATTCTCTGTGGATTACATTCGAGTGTAGAGGAAAATAATCTTTACCCAATCAAGCAAACCAATAGCATTATCCTCCAGTGGTGGCATGAATGAGTATCTTCTCCCACTTATCAGTTCCAACACCAGAATTCCAAAACTATAAACATCTGTTTTTATTCACACGCGAGCATGGTCCAGATATTCTGGAGCCATATATCCCCTGTGCATTGTTCACAAGCTCTTAGTATCAACACGATATACAATGAAATTCAAGTAGATGGATTCTCTTTCAATGATAGTAAAAGTAAATACGAAGAAATAAAGATAGAATCAAATGACATGCAGTTTACTTTTCTCTATAAATTTAAAATCATACCAAGCGCCAACTATTCGAGTATAGGCATGTGTTTGATCTTCCTCAAATAGACGGCTAATGCCAAAGTCAGAAATTTTGGGCACCCATTTGTGATTGAGCAAGATATTGTCAGGCTTTATGTCACGATGGATGATACAGTTCTGGGAGTTATTATGAAGATAACTCAAACCCCTTGCGATGCCTATGATTATGCTGTAAGTTCTAGTCCAATCAAGTTCTTGCTCTCTCCCGTTGGGACCTACAGAATTCATTGCTCACAGATTGAAAAATGACATGAGATTGATTGCAAGGCAAGGATGGGACATGGGAGCACTTACCGAATAAAAGCTTGTCAAGACTCTTCTTGGGAACGTATTCATAAACAAGTAAGAATTCATTGCCATCAGCACAGTAACCAAACAATTTGACCACATTGGGGTGCTTCACGCTACTCAGCAACTCTACATCCCTTATCAGTGCTTCCCTATGTTGTTCTGACATATGTGATGACTTCTTTACTGCAATCTCTTTCCCATCATCCAACTTCCCCTATTGCCAAAGGTTTAATTTAAAGACTTTATTTTTGAAGTGAAAAAAAAAAATGGAGACATGTGGCATAACTAGAGAACTGGAAGACTTTCAGAAATTTATTTTTATTGTCATATAATGTCTTCACTTCTTTTTGACAGTTTAAATATAGAATAGAACATTAGCTTTTCAAGTTCATTCCAAATCCCCATGAAAGTTGATAAGATTGATTAATGATCTTACCTTGTAGACGAGTCCAAAGCCTCCTTGACCCAACACATTTTGAGAGGCAAATCCACTGGTAGCATCGTATAAGGTTTCATAGGAGAACCTCTGACAATTCTGGGCATCTATTCTTTGCCTTAGACCTTCATCCTCCTGTCCCTCTGAAACAACTTAAGATACACAAAATCTGTTACATTCAATCACCAGGAAATTGGAGAATAAATTTACAGAGACAAGGAATTGTTATCTTGAAGAAAAAGATAAGAAATTCAGACCTACCACGTCTATCTTGGACAGGAACACTGACTGAGTTCCTGTCGACCAATTCTTGAACTCCATCACATTGAAATGAAATTATGAAGATTTTTCAATGATGAATAGAAAACCTGAATAACCATCTGGGAGTGCCTAGAGTTAATGCGAACTGACATCAAAAGAAGAGGATGATGTAGAAGTACAATATCTTGGCCCAAAGAATCTTTCCCTGTCTATTTTCATTCCCATAAGATTCTGATTATTTGTTAACATGAAAACAACATGATCCATGGTAGGACGTGAGTCTGGAGCATGTTGAGCGCACAGTAAACCTATTATGACGCAATTTTGTCACCTGCACTTGCTCAGTCACCATCGAATCTGCTAAAGTAGGGTCCGATAATTCTAAACTCCTGTTTTCCCTGTAAAGTTCGTATGCCTGATGCAAAAAGGATAAGAAAAAACAGAAAGCAATTCAACCACTAAGTTGCACACAAGAATGAACAACTCAGAAATATGTGACCAAGACGTTTCATGACCCTCTTGTTCGGATAGTTCATGGTTGATTGCATTTGGTAGTTGAAAGTTGATGAACATAGTATTTACCCAATCAACAATCAGCGATGCAAATAAGTGAAGCAAATAAAAAAGCCAGCAGAAAAAGGAAAGATCAGAGAGCCTGTACCCAAACCCTCACAAAGAAGCCAAAGCATTGGATAATTCAGTCTTACCCAATCAAGGATATTATTATTATTATGTGCATCCCCCTCGAGTCTAAACGGCGAGTGTCTTCGGCCAGTTATCAGCTCTAGCATCAAAACCCCATAGCTAAACACATCTGCTTTCACTGATAAATGTCCAGTCTTCATATACTCTGGAGCTATATATCCACTGTATATTTCACAATTTTATAAATTACATATCCACTTAAATCATGTGACCATGATAACTCCATTTTCAAATTAGTCAAGTAATAATCAATAGAGGTTTTGCTACTATTCTTAAATTGTCAATGTTGAATCTTGGATTTGCTACTTATTTTTTGAAATTTGGTGGGATCATGACCAAAATCAGTTTCCTTCAAACAATATGTATTGAAAGTTGAAAAGCATACATGGTGCCCATGATTCGCGTAGTGACATGAGTTTGATCCTCGGGGAAGAGATAACTCAGATGAGCGATGTCAAAGTTTGCAATCTTGGGCATCCAATTGTCGTCGAGCAAAATACTTCTCGGCTTGATGTTTCGGTGGATGATGGGGATATTCGAGTCTTTGTGAAGATAGAGCAAGCCACTTGCTATGCCTGTGATTATGTCAAACCTCCTTTTCCAATCTAGCTGCTTTCTGACGTGGGATTCTGCAATAAAATAACATCACGTTCTCTATTACACTCGCCGGCAAATTGTCAGACAAAAGGACACAGTATGAAAAGCTTCAGATGTTCACATTTTTTTGGGGAGAATTTCAATAAGGACTTTCAAAATCAAATAATAGCATGCAAAGCCTGGAAAAGCATTTCATATGGATTTGGGTCCTGCATGCTATTAATTCAATTTTGAGGGCCCTCGTCAAGATTTTCCTTTATTATTATTATTATATTATTTTTTTTTTTTTGGGCCAGCAGCTTCAGATGTTCACTTGACCAGTATAGGATACGGCATTTCAATGGTAAGTAATGTCCAACAATAGGAAGGGGACATTTTAGACCTTCCATACCATTAATCGTTACCTCCGCGTCTAAAGCCCCACAATACGACAAATTTTTTTAAGTATATTCCTTGCACTGAGTATCTGTGGAAGAAGTTAATAAAAAATTCTTGAAATCAGGGCATCCCTTCTTTACAAAAGCAACACTATAAGATAGCGCTGCACAAAGGACTGAATGGCACCGAGATCAATCTAACTCAAAGTCTGATCTTTTTTATGAAAAGGATTGAGTTTGGCAATCCGTTATTTAGTCTTGTCCAATGATAATTTAAAAATTAATAAGATAGGACTTAGTCTATAGAATTAGGAGACTGATCCTATTAGTTTAGTACTCACTTACCTTTAACGTCAATTACAGTTAAAACATTTGTCAAAATAAATTAATTATAATTATATTAAATAAATTAATAGAATCGTATTGGATCACGTGGTCTAGATGCCCAGTCTCCTATCTAGTTCAATTGAAGAAATAGTCTAATCTTTTTAATTCTTTTGATCTTGAAGGACCAGTGTTTATATAGACTAAATAGGATTGGACCATATCAAATTAGATTGGGTTAGACAGGGTCAGAGAACTTTCACATAGGCTTGCTACAATGTATGCTTGAAAAATTCTCCTAGCAACAGCCGAAGATACCCCTCAAGCTTTGGTGTATCGTGCATCTGAGGTTTACGTGACGTGACTGATAGAGAAATTAGTTAAGTAATACGGGTTATAATTTATACTGAAGATAAATATTATTATTTTTAAAAAAAATAATTTAAATTGTATTAAAGGTAAAAAGTATTAAAATTAAATACTAAAGAACAATCATAAAACATAAAATTATAACAACACAAAAAATATAACATTGATTTAATATGAACACAATTTTTACATCAATGAACCCTGCTTTTTTATTTTTATTAGATAAAATTAATGCACCTTTTACATGGTAAATTTTTTTTTTGGGGTAAAATTTTTAATTTAGAGATTTAAGTAAAAATACTTTCTAAATTATTACTCCCTCCGTTCTAAAAACTATTGTTATGTGAAGTTATAATAGACACAGAAGATTTTGGGTCAAACAATTTTTTTAGGGGATAATCAAGTTTTTCAAAACATGCAAGACCGTCCTTCCCGGTGTTGGCAGTGGTGATGAAGTTATTAGACATAAAAATTCCAGAATTCTGCAACCAAAAGGTACTGCTTTTCGGGTCTATGGGAAAAAACATGAAAGGAGACTTCAAAGGAAAATACATAATCGCCATATAGTCAGCTTGCCCAACTGAGAACGGGGTTAAGGAAAAACACATTTACTTCATCGCGGGTAAAATTTGGACCCACAAGTTAGCTTAAATGAGTATTAATCAAGTAAGGAATTAAATTTAGTTTCTCTTTCTGAGGAGGCATAGAAAAAGAGAACGAGGAAAAAAAAAATAGAAAGGTTTTATAAAAATCAACAACAGATTACATATCTGTGGGCCAAATAATGCTTCGAGGGGATTTCAGTCGTGTATGATGTTATTGAACAGAAGAAGGAACAAAAAAAAACTTACCAAATGAATTTTTCTCGAGGCTCCCCAGAGGAAGGTAGTCATACACAAGTAGCTTCGTTGTGCCATGGACACAATAACCCAACAAATTCACCACATTCGGGTGGTGCACGCGAGCCAACAACCTGGCCTCGTTCATGAACTTTTCGATCCTTTGACTTTGATTGGAGCTTTGTGATAATCTCTTCACCGCAATCCTTCTTCCATCGTCCAACTTCCCCAGCAAGTGCAAAAGGGAAAGAAAACAAAAGGAGCAAATCAGCCCACAAGCCTCAAGTTAGAATGGGTCTTAGGATTTCGGTTTCCAGAGAAAATCCCAAACCCAAAAATAAAAAATCACATTTTTTATGTGAGACATTTTGTCAAATGCTAAAGTTTCCGGAATTGATTAGGGAATTCCTGGCAACCAATCTTGATTGGGTGGGATAATACTTTAGAAAATTTCAGAATCGACAAACCCGTCACAGAGTTCATTTTCAGAAGCATGAAGCGATTGAATCTTTCTCAGTCATTGCGAGATGAAGAAACAAGTCTTCCCGCTTAATTTTCATACCTTGTAGACGGATCCAAAACCTCCCTCGCCAAGCTTATGGCGGGAATGAAAATTTTTTGTGGCAGCAACTAAGGTTTCATAAGGAAATATCTTTTGCCGCGGGGATGCAGTTCTCCCTAACTCTTCTTCGTCGCTTCCCTCTGATCAAACGCAACCGAACAGTCAAACACCCAGCGACCATAAGATGAACTGAAAACAAAAGCGAAGGAATTGGATATTGTTTGTCACCTTTACTAGAACCGAATTTGAAGGGTTTAATCAGATTATGAAGAAAACTGTGAGATTTGGTCATGGTGCTTGCTTCCTTAAACTGCTAAACTTTCAAAGCTTTCCTTAACAACCAAGCATAAACAATGGCTGAGATGAAGAGTCCATGACGGCCAGACAGCAAGAAACAAGAAAAAAAAAAAAAAACACTAAGAAGAAAACTATTACTTGTTTCTCCTCTATGACTACCTCTGCTCCAAAGACACTATTTGTTGAATGAGAATGATGGACCTTTTATGTTGACTTGTACACAAAACAGACTAATCAAAGTCAACTTAGCCAGCTGATCCTGCTTGCAGCTGAAGTTAGAAGTATAGACCAACTTGGGCCATATGAGTTGAAGAAAATATGAATTAAGTTAGATTCAACTCATTTTTATATGAGTTGAAAAAATTTCAATCCAGTTCAAAACTTAAAAATTGATAGATTAAATGTGTTAACTTATTAATTCATTTTTTTCAATTTATTTTTTAATGATTTTTTAAAAAATATTTTTGAACAATGAGTTTCAATTTAATATCTTTCATGATTCATTCTAAATATATTAAAATATTAATTTACAATGTTTGTACAATATATATGAATTGATTCAATTAAGTAAATTTTGTCCAATATAATTTATGCCCACGAAAATTTCTTCTTTTTTTCCTTTTTTTATTTTTTAAAATTAATATGGGTTAAACAAGTTAACTCTAATTCATTTGGATTAACACATATAGTTCATAAATTATATGATTAAAAAAATCATTTTTTATCTAGGCCATTTTTTCTTAACCTGATAGAATCAGACCCTTATGATTTGCCATTCAGGCAAACTCATATAACTTGCCCTGGCTCTACTTTCAGTGATGTGTTATGTGCTACATTGCTCTGCTTTTTCCTTATTTATTTCACTTGCGTGGAAGAACTCGAAGGAGCGAACCAGTGAGCGTTCAACAAGATGATGAATCTCAATACTAAAGTATTTCCGAACTCTAATACTTGGCCTTCGTGCCAAGCATTTTATTTGTAAGGTATTATCCTTTCTTATATATATATATATATATATATCTAACCTTTATAATAATTAAACATAAAAAAAGATGAAGAACTTTACAAGTTTACTTATGTTCTTGCAGAATAGTTAACAAAGCTGAGCAACCGACGATAATCATGTACAGTTAGCATTCATTAAGAGCTAAACCGGCTAATACGATTTGAACCGCTTTCTATGAACAAAAATTCAAGATTAAAAATTATTGCATTGGTATAATGTTTTTGTTGTGCCATAAATTAAGCAGACCAAGGCATACTGACAATGAAAATACACTAGGAAAACTTACAGACTAATAACTGATCACCCTCCAGAAACCCATCAGCTCAACACCCCTGATCATATCCTTTCATATTTGTATCATCTTCGAATTGACCGTTACTGGTTAGTGGCCCATGTAACTTCCTTCATTTTATATCATCTTATCTTTCACTACTTGAAATATCTGTTTGTAGTCTTGACAGATATTATGTTCATGCTTCGTTTTATACTCAATTAATTTTCAATTGGCCTATTCTTGACGCAAAAACTAAGTCCTATCGATTTGTCTTCGTTACAAGACTTGAAGGAAAATGTGATAAGATCTTTCAACAAGAAACTCGCAGGGAGAATGGCTCTCCTGGGGCTGTTGTTCATCCTCTCATCTTTGAAGAGCTTCTCCTCCTTTTCGTGTGGTAGCATTTCCCCCTTCTCGAGTTATAATTGGATCAAAAAAATCATCATTTAAAAATTCATTGTCGACATTTAAAATTGCAGTGTCAACATTTTCAGTCAAAGAAATTAACAGCGTGAGAGTTATAAATATAAAAAGATTTTTATAAAATTAAAGAATCAAATTGAAATCTTATCAGAAGTTAGATAACCAAAAATATAACAATAAGAGTGTAGTGCCATGAATGCAGAACTTTGGGGAATATTGTGAGATCACTTGCCACGTTGAAGGAAGATGAGGAGTTTAGGCTTGCTACTCATTTTGGGCAGGAAATGTAGCTCAACTTTCAATTACAATATATGTGAATCTTTCAACATGCTTTGACTTGAATTCGAACAGCTCTCCTCACTTTCATGTTCAACCACAGATGTACCATGAGGATTATTGGCAGCCTGATTTTGTGTGCCTTCAACTGTGATGCAAGTTGTTTGGAAATATGTTGTACAGCAAATTAATTAATTGGGCACGCTGAGCTACTAACTTACAGTGACGTGGCATGTATACATATTAATTAATTGGGTCCAGCTCCATCGCCCCTCTATCAATTTTCTTCTTCAAACATTGCCTGGTTCCAGAAGTGGTAATCTTCCAATTACAAATCTTGATTTAAGAAAATAAAAATAAAAGTAAAAGGAGTAGTTGGCACTCTGGAGAAGGCGCAAGGAACAAACCCCTCTTGCTGCATTAAGTATATGCATTGCACTATTGCTTAAAAAGCATATAAAGCCCAACAAGGCGCAATCAGTGTTATTTTTATATATCATATTAATTTGCATGTAAGTGCACATAAAAAGGACGGGGATAAATGCACTGATTGAACAGTTAATCATAACGTCAACAGAAAAACAACTTGTAGAGTTTACAAGTTCAGACAAGGTGACTGAGAAATATCCTTAGAATCTTCCACAAGCGATATCTTTACCTAAAACTTCCTTGGTACATTAACCAGAAACTTTTCCGCTCCTTTTTTCCAGGAGAATCTTCACCAAATAACCTTATTTGAGTCATTACTTTCATGATCCTATCAGCATACTTCTTTAAGGTTTAACATCCTTCATCTTTTAAGAGCTTACATTCTCTTCTTAGATTAAGTACTTGCATTTGCTTACTCTTTTCACTTCCCTAATTGAAACTCATCTCTAAGCCATTTCCAAGTTTCTTTCTCTCTATCTCACAAGCTATAATAATTGTGAAAATTGTCTTGGTCACAACAGATATGAATCTTTTTGCTCTTCAAAATAATGCTTCATCTAAGCCATTGTGTGATGTTTTGTCAACGGAGGAGGATCACTTCCTATTTACGCTACTCCCAACATGTCTAAATCTCTGAGGCGAGCTTTCATTTTAACAGTCCAAACCTCATAGTTTTGGGCATCAAATAGAGGAGTTCCTACACGCTACACCAAAGCCGCTAAAAGACATGCTCTGTATAGGCTAGGAAAGCTCTCTTGGGTTGAGTAAAAGGTTTCAGCACTGAGTTCTGCTATTGTAACTGTTTTTTTAATATGCCTTTCCAAAATTAAAAAGCCCCAACTCAAATTGAGCCCGACTTAAATAAGTTAGATCCGCCTAAATTACCGACTCTAGGTAAAAGGTATTTTTTGTGTCTTTTGTATATACACCTTTGCGTAATGAATAAAAGCTGTTTCTCTTCCCTTCACTTTTCTGTTCTGTATCTTTTCTTTCTTGTTCTGCTTTTTTTTTCTATTTGAATAAGAAATCACAACTTGTTAAGTATAATATCTGTTATCAAAAAATAAATTTCAAAATAACAAGCCCTAATTATAATTTTTTTAAAAAAATAACAACTTTTATTTGAAAAATTGCAAAAATTAAACAAGAAATTATAATTTATTAATAAGGGTAAAATAATCTTTTTAATTTAAAATTTATTGACACAGAGATCCTTAGAGACTTCAGTAACATTAAACCATTTTGAGATATCAGATTATTATTTATATAATTCGAAGAGACTTTATTATCATTTTCCCTTAAGCCAGTTTAAAATAGGGGAAATAGCAATTAAAGATCTCTGGAGCAACTTTATATCAGTCAAGGATTACTTGCTCTCAAATGAATACTTATTAATTTAGGTTATTTTTTTATCAACAAGTATTCATTTGAGTTTTAATAATAATTTATTTTAAATTAACAACAGTTGATTCGGGCTTGTTTTTTATTCGAGTTTTGACAATAACTAGTCCTTGACTAATATAAATTTACTCCAGTAGTCCTTGATTGCTATTTTTCCTTTAAAATAATTTGAGCTTAAAAAATTTATAACATATTAATTTTTAGAATTTAATTAATATTAAGAATAAATTATTTCATTGTAATAGTTTTAAAGAACTATTTTGAGTGGTGAGTCTAGAACTATTTTGATATGATAGAAAATAGTTTTAAAGAACTCTATATAATTTTCAGTAACTCTAAGAGCTGTAGAGATTCTTTTAAACCTTTCTCAAGCAACTTATAAATTAAAAGTGACTTTAAGGAATAAATTATATCTAATTAGAATTTATTTTAATTATTTAGGGATGATAATTTAACTTATGATATGTTTAGGACTTATATAAAGTGCTCACGAGCACTGTAGAGTTAAAAAGTAATAATCAACATAACTTAAAATTATCTTGGGAAGTCCTTGAGATTAATTGGGAATCTATAAAGTTAGAAAGATTCTTAAATAAAATTAATAGGAATTTATTGGTGTAGTTTTAGAGTTACATATAGCTCTCACGAGTAGCTTTAGATTGAGAAATAAATTTGATTCAATTTGATTTTAATTTATCAATTCTCTATTTGTAGAGGTGTTAAGAGTATCCTAGGGACTCTTTAATTTTTACTTTGACTTTTAAATTAGCTGGAAGACCTCTTACAGAGAGATATTGAGTTTTTTGAGTGAACTCGAGCCTAAATAATTTCTTTTCAAGTTACTTGCATGCTAATGTTTTTGTATAAAAATATTGAACTAAATATAAACAGAATGCCTATCATAACCTTTTGCAAAAAATTGGCTTATTGGTGAAAAATTAAATTTTTGGGAAGTTTTTGTGAAACCATGGTTAGTGAAAAACCTCTAGGAATTTTTATAAATGGTTTTTTTATAATTTATAAGACTAGATAGACTCACATTTATCATAATTTGACTAGTTGGAGTTTGGTCAAATTGTTTGAATATATACAACATGTGAAGTTTAGTAGTATCTATAGAATGATAAATGCTAGAAATTTTGAGAAATACTAGTTGTGAAAATTGTAATTTGATTTAGAATAGTAGAATTGTATTGTTATGAGGTGGTTGCAAGTTATGGATTTAAAATGAGGAAATAAAGTTAGATTGTGATCATGCATTTGCCCCCATGTGGCATGCATTGGGTAGTAGGGGTGTTCATAGGTTCGGTTTACTAATAATTGAGACCTGATC